GGTTTGTTTATTTTGTTTCAATTAAGGAAAGACTTTGATAAAAGTGAGCTTTAGGAACATTAATATGGTCATGGGGAGTAGCCAGAGGCAGGAAGACCCACTACCTGAGATGGAGTGGTATAGATGACTAGAATGGGGATTGGCAATGGATAAAAACACCTATATGTTTTGGGAGGAAAAAAAACAATAGGACATAGCTACTGCTTTGCATATGGGCCTTGCACATATCTAATCAGCTATCAGATTAGAAAATGTATATTGTCACAACTTACTTTCCTAGTACCAGGGATTTAATTCTTTTAAAGTTCAATTCTACTGAAACTTTTCCTCCAAGAAACAATGCCCTCTTGAGAGCTAATTCCAATTTATTCAAGTCTTAATAACTTATATTTGTGGAGTTCTTCTAAATTAGTAGTTCCCCAATTTGAAGCACTAGGGCTTGTTAAAAATACAGATTATCAGGCTATCACCCCTAAAGACTAAATTAGTTGTTCTAAAATAATACCTTGGACCCATCTAGGAATAAAAGTCCAGAGAGGCCTCATAAGTCCTATTAATGAGGTGGGAAGCTTGGGAAATAGTGTTTTAAAGTGTTTTTTCATCTAGCAGTTTTCATTTGAAATGGGGTTCATTTGTATTCCAATAATCAATGCAGCTCTTTTCCCATTCTCCTCACCTTCTGTTGTCTTTCAATTTCTAGATGCTTTAATTGAATAAAACGTTCCTGATAGATTTGTGCCTACTAAAAATCACACTTTTGAAGTTACCAAGTCACCAGAAGACACAGCTAATCTGCCATGTGAAAAAAAAAGGTGTTTCTTTTTTCCCCTTGCGTATCATTTTATTATTGGGTTGTCAGAAAAGTCATGACGCATTTTTGGAACGAAAAATATAGAAAAAATACGTCATGACTTTTCTGATAACCCAATAGTTTCAGGTGTACAAAAACAACATAGTGATTAAACATTTATGCACCTTACTAAGTAATAACCCCAACAAGTCTACTGCTCATCTGATATAACTATTACAATACCATTGACTACATTCTCTATGTTGTACTTTACATCCCATGACTATATATATATTTTAAATTATAGTTGACATTTGATATTATTTTATATTAGTTTCAGGTGTACAGCATAGTGGTTAGGCATTTATATAATTTATGTAGTGATCCCCCCGGTAAGTCTAGTACCCATCTGACACTATACATAGATTTTTTTTTTATCAAACCCTGAGAGCAGTCAGCTGTGGCCAGAGAGCTGATGGTAGAGAGTGAGAGGCAGGCAAGATGAAAACTGCCTGCAGCTGACAATGGCAGCCTAATAACAGCCCTTTGGGAAATATGAAAGGAGGTCAAACGTGGGAAAGTAATTTTGCCTTGTTGCTGAAGATGACATTGTTAAAACTAAGAAAGTTTATCCATTCTAGGGGAAAGACAAAAGCCAATTTTAGCATCTGTGCTTTTATTTCCAAGATTGTATAGTCTCAAGGTGGCATCTAAGTAGTTGACACAGAATTGAAAATTCTATGTGCTTTAAATATTGCCAGGCTTTAAATACAAATCAGAGAGGTAGGGTTAGATTGTTTCTTAAACAAACAATAATTTTCATGTTGTTAGGCCATTGGAGACCAGCATAAGTGCTCAATAAAAGTCTGGAGGAAAATACAGAGGTCAGTTCACCACAAACATTTAGGTTCAGATACACCTTTCTTCTCCCCAATAAAAGTTTAAATTTACTCGGATGCCAACACTGCCAACTTGAACTGGGTCAACAACTTCTCAACATTTTTACCACGGCCACTGGATACTTTAACTTCCAATTTCGCTTCATCCTTTCTTCCTTTCCCACAGCCTCCCAACAACCTCACCCCTTTCTGACTTCACCCATTCTCCCCTATCATTGTCCAGCTCAGTTTCCCCAAACCTTATACAAAATATAAATTGGCCAATCAAGATTGTCCTTTAGGAGAGCACTCATTTACTGAATAAAATATTGGCCTCTGAGGGGAAGAACAGTGAAGAAGCACAGAGATAAAAACAAACAAACGCCATAATCCCTGCTCTCCTGGGCTCATTGTAAAGTGGAGAAACAGATACATGAGCGAGCACAGACGGCATGATAATTGCAATAACCAAGGGACGGACCTAATCCAGGTGAGAGAAGGAGAGAGCTGATGTTACCGTGAGGCAGTGCATCCAGCACTTACTCTCCAGAAAGCTTTCCTGATTCACCAGTAGATGTGCCCTGATTGTTGAATAAGAAAATTCGGAGGAAAATACATATTCTTTTTACCATTTCATTTGGTAAATACATAAATTATGAAATTATTAATGATATTAGGAGGTTGATTCAATAAGTTTAAAATAAAAAAGATGGCACTATTTAGAGGAAACTGTAGATGTGTATGCCCCACCCCCGACACACACACACACACACACACACATTTTCTGAAGCCTTTAATAACTTTTTGCTTATTTTGATTCAGTTTAACTAGAAGTTTAGAATTTGGGACCCATGGGTTCAAAACATCTTGAGTACCCCCAAGGCCATTGGGTTCATTTCAGAAGTGTACTTTGGTTTACTGGTATCTTTTTCCCATGCTAACTTATTTACTGCTCTAAAAAGAAACTGAGAACAAAACCCAGCAGCAAATCAAACTTTGGTACAGAAGAGCATGAACTGATTATAGATCCTAAAAAGGGCATCACTTAACCAATGGGTGTGCGTGCTTGTCAGGCTCATCTCTGAGAACTCAGGAAGTGGCTGCATGAGACAGGCAATGGTCTGTTTGGTTGTAGTAGAAAAGATATTTTAAAACCAACTATTACCTGTATACATATATGTTCTTGGGTTGTTTTACCAAAAATAAGTTTGCCTTAGGTTTATTGGTTTATTTTGTTTCATCAAATATTTTTAAATGCAGTGGTGAATATTCCTGTGTGACCTCATGATAGCCTGAACATTTAGATGTTTATATAATTACAATAATTACAAAGATGTAATTATTGCCCTTTCACACAAGTAAAAAATGGAGGAAATGAGAAGATAATACACTAGAATACAAGTGGAGCTACGTATGGTGGAGGCAAACCGTCTGTTCTGTAGACGGTTTTGCATATGTATTCTTAGAAACCTGCGAAACCAATGTTTTCTAAGAAGCTAACTCATTCAACTTGGAAAAGCCTCTAAATATTACCCTTTCCATACACATCAACATGTCTGTGACAGCAACTGCTACCAACCATGTGACTTACAGTGCTAGTGCATTGCTAGGGTTTTCTTAGAATTTTTTTTTTCTTTACAACCTTATTGAAATTAGGCTGTATTTTATCTGACCAGGTTTTTGTAAGCTGTATGTTTTTGCAAGTGAAAGAAAATGGTCTTAAGTTAGTTAATCCACTGTTGTTGACCCACAAATAAGATGAGGTAAAGGTGATGTTATTATAAAGACGGAGAGGTACCTACATTATCCCGCACTCTCTCCCAACCCTCAGTTGGCCATATACTTGGAATAGCTTGTATTTTTCTAAGTACTTGGAGTTCGTTTTAATTCTAGGAACTTCTCAGTCTCTCCCTATTCAATTTAAATCAAAAGGCATTTGACTATGTAGAAAACACTGTACTAGTGGCAGCAAAGAGAAAAACCAAAATATAGAGAGTGCTCAGGGTACACTCCGGAATCCAATGAGAGCTACTAAAACGGAGAGTTGTGTTTCTGAGTAAGTCATGGAAGGAGCACATCTTAAATGCTTAACAATTTGTCATGGGAGCAAAATGGTAATAGCTAAGATTTTTCTACCATCAGAATAGTATCACTGAGCTCTATCCTATCAGAAAGGAATAAATATATCAAACATATTGATTATAAAAACCACACTAAAACATTTAGGTATAGCCTAGTTTTTTTAAACTCTATTATATCAAAACTTTAAACAAATAGATCTGTCAGATAAGAGAAAAGTGAAATATTTAATTGACAATAATTTTATTTATTGCTCTCTTCAAGAAGTACAGATAGACTTTGGGATTTTCAAAATGGTTCTGACATCTTTAAAGAAAAGGTGGTAACTCAGTTGTTTATAATACATGTGTTCTTGTAAGTAGAGGTATTCAATAATAATTCTATTAAAACTGCTTCAGAGTACTATAATGATGCCGTTTGACATACTATTAATAGTTATTAGAGCACTTCAGACTTCTCTGGAAATAATTACCAAGTCCTTAGCACAGACTCTAAACAGACCTTCAAAATACATCCGAGATTTGCTAACACAGACTGTAAGTCTGCCAGATGTAGTTGCTTTTATTTGTTGAATGGAGTTTTAAAAATCAAAAGCTGAACTTTGCAAGATTGGTGCATTAGGTTTGAACTGGACAACACTGAGTGAGGGGAGCTGCCATAGAAGCCCCTTGGACAAGAGGCTCTAAGCTCCATGCACACAGCACCTAGTATGCTTCTGGGCTCAGGGTTGGCACTCATGAATGCATTCAATGACTGTGTATATATGCACTTTTGGAGAGCAAGTAATTTACGATAATTAGAGACTATATGTACTAATGTAGTGGACGGCATAGCTGTTGAACTCATCTAGGTAGGTGGGAAGAAATAGGATTCTACTGGTACGCGTGAGCTCAGCAGTGGAGCGCAAAGAGCCCATCCATCACACGTGATTTGGACCAGTACACACGCACCCTTGGCATCCTGTGACTACCCTGGATTCCAGAACTCCAGCTAGGAAACGTGGAAGTGTTATTTGATTGTCTGTGCCTCGCAGTTTCTCTTTGGTCTATTGTCTAACATATGTTGCTAGCATCCTTTTTTACTTTGACTATCTTTAGGTGGTTAGACGATGCTATTATTGATGAGATCACACCCAAGCTGATCGGGGATCGGCCCAACACGTACACCTACACCAAGGCCTTGGGAGAGATGGTGGTGCAGCAGGAGAGCAGTAACCTAAACATCGCCATCGTCCGGCCCTCCATTGTTGGAGCAACCTGGCAGGAGCCCTTCCCAGTAAGTGCATTCACCCGGATTCTTTGCTTTGCTTCCAAGGCAGTGTCTTTCTGGCCCAGTTACTTTCTGATGTCTTTTCTCTTTCTCTGTCTTCTCAGGATGTAGAGCCGAGTGCAGGAACTCAAACACGAATCCATTATATCAGGGCAAATCCCACATTTGGTTCAGGATTTCTCCAGCATAAGGCTCCTCTGGGATTTACATTGACTCTTCTAGAGTTGTGGGGAGACCTTAAACTAGCTTCTCATTAACTGTAGTCTTAAAATGTACATGAGAGATAATTTAATGTCTTCCTTTTCCACTGTAATTCAAATGTACCAGAATGTTCTTGATGGCAACACTGGCAGTATGACAACTGCCAAGGTAAATGGGAATCATAAAGTTCACAAAAGGTTCTCAGTTTAGGAATAATAATTTTCGTCTCTATATACTCCGTTATCCTTTTCAAAGTACTTGGAATTACACCATCTTCTTTGCAGCAAGTCTGTGAAGTTTTAGGACCAGATAAATTCAAGCTCCATGACTTACTGAACATGCAGCCTTTTGAGTTGTCTCATCTGTAACACTGGGTTGTTACTACCTGCTTTGGAGAGTTGATCAAATACGACAGTGTGTGAGGTGCATAGTACAGTACCTGGTCCCTAGTAGAAGTTGCAGCGTATAATCCTTTCATCTTCTCCTCTCTTCTCCCTCCTCTCCCATTTTACACTCACATGTTGACTTTTACAGATGAAAACAAAGACAGACATAATAAAGTCAACTGACTTGCTTAGGGTGCAGGAAACAAACTCAAAAAAACCTTTTCCTGTAACTAAACAAAATCTTTCCTCTAATATATTTAAGCAAGCTAATGCAAATATCTAGAGCTATAGTATGGATGCCATGACTCCTAAAATTCTCAAGAAATGGATAATTGCTAGAAATTATGTTTCATAAAATCTCCTGGGGAGATAAAATCAGGCCAGGTGGAGAAAAATAATGGCTGATGAATTGGTCAGCAGATTATGATATTAAGACAAGGCCTAATTTAGCCCCTAAGATGTCATTAAAACAGCTAGAAACCATCCATTGCTCCTGCTGGCAGAATTTTAATTTTTGCACAAATAAAGTGCAGAAATAATCCAGCGTTTTGCCATTGATCTGTTTGTGACCTGTGAAATACTGGATTAGACAATTGTATTGACTGGGGTCTCAGTGCTCTCATTTGAAATGTATTTAGATTAGACTGCACATGTTCCAATTATAAGGTATTACAATTCTCTGATATGTGTAATCAATAGAGTTCTCTTTCTCTCTCTCTCTCTCTCTCTCTTTCTTTTTTAGGGTTGGGTTGATAACCTAAATGGACCTAGTGGGCTCATTATTGCGGTATGTATGATAATGTGGAAATAACTCCTTGAAATGTAATAGAGGGATAGTGACAAAATGCTTAGTGTTGCTTTAGCTTCATTGATCCAGAACCATAAATGTTAGTTTACTAACTACAATTGAAGCAACTTTTCTTAATTTTGCTCATTGGGAAATAGAGGCAGGATGAAATTACTTTTATCTGTGGATTTAATTATCAGAAAAACAGAGGTATTGTGATATCATCAATTAACTATTTAGGAGTTTTATTTTTGGAAAGTCTTTGAGCATGGAGGAACATATCTGTACTTCCCTATAGTGACCACAAGATGGGGGTGTTTCTCACTTTTCACTGCGAATTGGGACTGCAATAGAAATATTAAATTATGAAACACATACAAGAGTTTATGTGTATGTGGATAGAGATTTTATATATATATATATTATATAGAGAGAGACTCTATATATATAAATACATATATATATACACACATAACTAGTTATTAATAGATATATGAAAGAGAACTACCAATTGAGGCAAATTTTTCAAATGTAAACATTGAGACAGGAAACACTTTTCACCAATAACCCTCTCACAGATGAGGAGAAACATCACTGATTCCTCTGGGTAAGAGGACCTTTGTGTGCATCTCCCTGCAGTCAAGACGGATCCAGTCCGAGCTGTGGGGCTTACAGCTCACACTGAAGCATTTTAGGACGCGACCACAGCTCTGTTCTTTAGGACAATGAACAGGAATTTAATTCTCTGACTGAGCTGAAATCTTATTAGAAATCTCATGCTTCACACTCTGCCTCTGTTCTTCTCAGAGCCAGGTTCAGCATGAACTAAAATACAAATATAAGACAGTGAAGTAGGACTACTTGTCAAAGACAGTGGTAATGAATTCTTTCAGGTTTCTTTTTTCTATTTTCTAGCAGCTTCTTTCTTTTTGTTCTCTACTGGCCTTTAGCTCTTGTTTCTTTAAAGCTTAGTTGAGGGTGAGCATTGGGTAACTTAGAACATAATTATTTTAACATGACCCTAGAGTTTCATTACATTGTTTACAAAACTACACACTTATTCACATTTTCTAAAATTTTCCAAAATTTTATAAAAATTTTATATGTCCAAAGGAAAGAGAGTCAGTTACAAGAAAACAGAAATTAGGAACATACAAAAGTGCTAAATACTGCAAATCAATGTTGGAAGTATGCAGGGTATAAATAATCAATTACCTCATCAAATCAATAAACACAACTTTTCATTTATTAACTGACATTTATTTGTTGGCACAGCTTATTTATTAATGTGAATAACTCCCAATTCTTGCATCAGTGATCTGTGAGGTGAACTAAGATACCGAACGAAAAGTAAATAATGGTGGCCTTTTCCCAACTAATAACAAAGTTGTTGAATGGTAGAATTTTATTAATTTTTTAAAATAAATATTTCTTAAACTTTTAGTGTTGACTATTGCTGGTAAGTTAGTAAGCACTAGCAGAAAACAATATCATTTAAGAAATGGTAGCACCAGCCAAGTGGCTCAGCTGGTTAAGAGTTAGCTTAAGAGTGCAAACTCCGATCAACAGGGCCGCCAGTTCAGTTCCAAGGGCCAGTGATGCTGCGCCTGAGCTGAGCTGCTGCTGAGCTGCCAACAGGTGGCAGAATGGTTCAGCTGCTGAGAGCACGTGCTCCTAAAAACAAGACTGCCTGTTCGATGGTGGACTACGCCTGCCCACAACTAAGACTGAACTTGATACCTTGAGCTGAGCTGCCACCCGGATGGCTCAGTGGATAGAGCATGCGCTCTTAACAACCAGGCTGCTGGTTCGACTCCCACATGGGATGGTAGCTATGCCCACCCGCAACTAAGATTGTAACACAGCACCTTGAGCTTAGAGGCCACGAGCTGCCGACGGGCAGCCAGATGGTGACTGGCGCCCTCCACAATTAATTGGAAAACAACAACTTGGCTGGTCCCCTTCCCCAATTCCCCAACACTGTTCCCCTCCCCCAACTCCCCAGTTTAAAAAAAAAAAAAGAAATGGTAAACTTAAATTTAAAAAAGTAGTGATGGGAAATTTAGAAAACCATGATTCTTAAAATGTCTTATGAATTAATTTTTAAGATGTGAAAAAGTATTCTTGGCATTTGTTAATTAACTAAATAGATTAACTTCTCACACATTTGAGGAATTTCACTCCCTAAAGGAACCTCAGGACCACTAGTGGTTCATGGAAATGTTGGCATTTGAGATGAACCTGGCTGGGAACTTGGATAGGCTGAGAGAAGTCGGCTTAGCACAATAGCCTAGTAAGCAGTGACTCGAAGTTAGCAGTTGCTACTGAAAGCATTAGTATTGGCCCCAGCTGTCACTTAAGCCCTGGTTCAATGTTTTATGTTCTCCTTCCTGTGCAGGCTGGGAAAGGATTTCTCCGAGCCATAAGAGGTACTCCAAAGGCTGTGGCAGATTTAATTCCGGTTGATACAGTCGCCAACCTCACCTTGGCTGTAGGATGGTACACCGCAGTTAACAGGTGTGGATGCTTAAGCTGGCTTTCAAAAGATTTGATGATGGGGGAGGGGTGTGTGCGTGTGTATGTGTGTGTGTGTGAATATTTTAGGCCTATTTTCAAAGTATATGCATTTTTATCATAGAAGACCACAAATATGAGAGGGTGTCTGTTTCATTATTTTACATAGTTCCAAATATGCTATCACATATGCATTGAGTTGTTTGATCAATATTGCTTAATGCTTCTTTGATCATAAAGTACAAACTCTTTAAATCATTTAACTATAAAATTGTTGATAACCAAAGAGCTTCTCTTTCTATTCAGTAATCTAAAATACAGCTTCTTTTTTTAAGGCAAAGAAGATAAAAGTGGGTGAAATGAGAGCATATTTTATATTTCATTGAACTGTTCAATTCCTGATTAATACCAAAGTTAAGATCTGTGGGAGTACTTTCTAATTCAAAGAAAAAAAAATGGGTTGTTTGTATATTTTATATTTGGCTCTGTTAGTAAAGCGTAAACAATTAATTTTTTTCTTATTTGAAGTCAGACATTTAGAAGTTTTCCAAACCAGTAGGGCTTAACTAGATTCAGGAGAAAACACAGCCTATTTTTTTGCATAATAAACATGTTCATAAGTTAGAAACACGACCTGCTTTCTCATTGTCATGGTACTTCCATTTCCTCCACCTATTTGAGATCTTTTTCACTCACTCACACACACACACACACACACACACACACACACACACACACACACACATGCACACACTTTTCCTAGACTTCTTCCATTTTGCTTATTAACCCAAAGAAGGAACAAAAGATAGAAGCGTTGCCTAGGCTGTCTTTCTCATGGGAATTATTGAAACAACCTTGTCTAAATATTATTTTTCCTTATATTTTTTTCATTAGTTTTCCACTTTGTTGTATTTATCTAAATTTTATTTCACTTTCTAGACCCAAATCAACGTTAATCTACCACTGTACATCTGGTAACTTCAATCCCTGTTACTGGGGCAAAATGGGTAAGTGCCTATTGGGACATAACTACATAACTACTAGCATCTGCTACAGAGGAAAACAAAGACAAAGTGTGTCATGGAAATTAAAAGTGTAATGGAGAAAAAAAAGACAAAAAAATAAGTAAAGAGTTAAAATAATTACAAACTGTAGATGTGTAAGAGTTAACTAGAACGCACTGTGGTGACCAAAGAAGGGTCAGTTGGAACATCTGCATAGTTGTAAGCAATCAGGGTCCGTTGGCTATAGAGATTTTTTTTTTTAAAGATTTTTATTGGGGAATTGGGGGGATGGGAACAGTGCTGGGGAATTGGGGGAAGGGAAACAGACAAGTTGCTGTCCTTTTGTTCTTCAGTCTAGTTGTGGAGGACGTTGCTTCACTGGCCCAAGTTGGCACCATCATTGTGCTCTTCCCGGGTGAGGCAGATCAGTCGCCGGCTTCTGGACGGTCGCTCACTGCGGCTGCTGGTCGCTCACGCTGGCTGCTGGCAACACACGGTAGCCAATGGCAACCCACTGCAGCAGGGGCTGCAGCCTACGCCATTGCCAGCAACCCACGGGCAGCCCAGCTCCAGGTCGAGCTGCCGTTCACCATCTTAGCTGCAGAGTGCAGTGTCACTGGCCCTCATATGTGGGATCTGAACCGGGGCCCTCTGGCATCCCAAGCCAGCTCTTAACCATCGCACCACTCGGCTGGCCAAGCTATAGAGATTTTTTAAAATAAATAAAACCAACTATAAATCAGCAATTATAATCAATGTCAGTGATAAAATACTCCTGCTGAGGCAGCTGCTCCCACACACACACCCTTGGCCCCCTTTGCTACATCACTGAGAATGGGAAATGGCCAAGTAGGTTTTGAAAAGTCTAATAATAATATAAACTTTTGTTATTAAGTCAGTGATACTCTTTTTTAATTATTCAGTTTGCCATAAGAGTAACTTTGAAAGTATCTCATTGAAGTAATTAATCCTGTATATAAATAGAAAATTAGCTAACCAACCTTATACTCCTTTGTCAATTTAGGAATTGATTTTCTTGTGAATATATGAAACTTCAAATCATCTAGCTATTTTGGGGGGTACTAAATGTAGGGGGGAAAAATCACACATGCTTAATTTGTTAGGATCTGATTTCCAATTCAGAACACTCGGCTGTGCTATTCTACTTGCAAAGTTATTACTTCTGTGAAAATTAAATGAAATTACCTACCATAAAAGACCTTTAGATCAATGATCATATATCCAGGTATTTACATCATATATCTAAATAATTTTGAAAACATTTGGAACTAAAAATTGATGTCCTCTACCTTGGTAACAGAATTGATACCACCCATAGAAAGAGGCATGAATAGAAGCAAACAAGATACCTTAAGCCCTTAAATAAAAAGATGCTGCATATAAATTTCATTTCTGAGATTCAAAACAGTCCTCTTCCATGCCAAAAATTCTTACTTTGTGTTTTATGGAATTATAGAATCTCATAGTTGAACATGACCTTAAAAATAATCTAATGGGCTCACTTTATTTTACGTATGAGACACAGAGAGAGTAAATGATCTATCTATTCAAACTCATATGGGGAGCTGGTGCCTGAAATGGAAGACAGGTCTCCCTTGCCTCTTGAATGTGCAATAACCACTCACTAGATCCTTAAAAGTGAACATGAACCCTTCTGGGAGGAAAACAGTCCAGACTCCTGGGTCAGAGATTTCTTGAGAATCTTTTCTGTACCGGGCATATATTTTTCATATAGATTTCCAAGTAGTATCTTTTAAGGAGGACAATAATTATATTACCATAATAACTGATATATTCATCATAACTGAATGAATTTAGACATATTCTCTGAAAACTCTACATAAATAAAATCAACATTGAATTCAAATGAGTATCTTTTGAAAAGAATTATTGAATTTACAAATGTACAGTAAAAGTTTTTAATGAGGTTTTATCTAAGTAATAATATAAAAAGAAGTTATTATTGAAAAAGATCTTGGAGACAAGAGTGGACAGTTGCGTCTGACATATTCTCAGAGCAGTAGGAATCCCAAAGAAGTCAAGGACTGTGGTGTTAAAGTGAACCAGCACAAAGAAACCTGCCTTTATCTTCTCTCTTTCATTTAAACCTTTAAATGATTAAGTTTTATGAAGCCCTTTATAAAGGTTTAAGTAAAATGTTAAAGAACTTTCCAGAGTGTTCTGCAAGTAATGATCCAAACAAGGAAATAAGGCCTCTAGGCTCTGTATTGGGACTTTGAGACTAGACTAGATAACCTTGGAATTAAATGAGGAATATAAGTTTTTCCGAGCAATACTTCACAGTACTATTTCCCCAAGAAGCTGTTTTAAAGTTTTCAAGAAAAGGACCCGATTAGAACCCATTCACGTTGCTTGATTTTGCAGGTGACCGCTTGCCTGGGATAAAAATCTTAATATTGTTCTCAGAAATTGATTCTTGACTCTACTCAGCAAACCCTTATTCTTTATTGTTTTGACCCATTACAAATGCCATCCACCACAACGGGCTTATATGCTTTAGACTTAGGGTGGCTTTTTTTTCCCTCAGGATTCCAAGTCTTGGCAGCCTTTGAAAAAATCCCATTTGAGAGAGCTTTTAGGAGGCCATATGCTGACTTCACAACCAACACCATCACAACCCAGTATTGGAATGCAGTCAGCCACCGAGCCCCTGCCATCATCTATGACTTCTATCTCCGGCTCACAGGAAGGAAACCCAGGTGAGAAGCTGGGTCAATAGTTTAAGTGTCGCTGCATGGAACATCAAGCCCCAAGTCCTTAGCCCTCCCTTCAGCTGGGGACCAAAGTTGACAACTGAATCTAACATATATATGTATATGGACAACCAAAGGAATAGTAATGAGAAGGCCTAAAGTACCCCTACCTTAACAATGCTCCATCATAGTAATGGAAGTTAAAACTTAAGGATCTTGTTTGATAGCTTCAGCAAGTAATCATTCACCCAAAAGGAAAAGCAACTGAGACTCGTTGGGGGGGGAGGGGTTTCTAAATTGTTAGAAGATCTTAAAATGTACAATAATGATAACAGCCTCACTGACACACATGGGAAGAGTCATGATGATCTCATTTTAATTCTCGCAACCACCCAAGAAGGATATCTTCATCATCCCAATTATGCAAATAAGCAAGCAGAAGCTAAGGGTAGAATTTAAAGTATGAGTAGCTTCAAAGGAAGTGACACAGGAAAGATTTGGAGAAATCTGAGCTAGATTACTGCCACCTAAAGATAAGTGAAGAAATTAGAGGGAACAAGGTAGAGTGAGAAGTATGCCAATGCTGAGACAGCTCTGTCACTATCTAGCTGTGTGACGGAAGACATATATATCCCTTTCACTCTGTCTCACTTGAATATTAGATGTGTCTGAGGAGCCATCATTATTATAATTACCAAAGGCAATTTCTGCCATCAGGAGTATGAACAGTCTTGCCTATGTACTATTTTATATATATATATATATATATATATATATATATATATATATATATATATATATATATATATATATATATATATATATCCCTTTATAAAGGAGGAAGTCTTTCCCAGCATGTTTAATTTCCATCCTTATTAGCAGAGCAAATGACTAAAAGTTAGGCAATGTAGAGTTTATCCAAATTTGGCAGAGGCCTTATTAAGAGCTCATAAGTCAGTAATTGTCAATTTCTCCTTGAGCAAAGTGAAAAGGGGACACTGTAGCAATGGGGAAAATAATTGTATAGGGCTTATTAAATAAAGATGGGTAAAAAAGAAAATAAACACTGTAGGCAGAAAGGCTAAAGGCCTTAAAATATATCAGGGTGGAAGAAGACCTGGGTAAAGGGCAAAGTTCAGTAAGTAGAAAAGAAAAACACAGGAAGAAGGGACTCAATAAAAATCTTTAAATTTTGTTTGTGAGAAATTAAATGATCGTATCTGTGGGAAATGGGTAGGTTTGTTTTGGGGATAAAACTGTTAAGAATAATCTTTGTGGCAGAAAATGCTAGACTCCTTCTAGACCCTTTCCATCCCTAGGTGTGTTTGTGTGTAATCTATGCATTTACAACCATATATGGAAATATATATAGTTTTGTTTTGAGGTAAGGGTATGTGTATACATCAATCCTATGTATTTTTCCAGTGCTTTTCAGTAATGTTTCATGAAAATCAAAGTCATTCTGCCTAGTGTTGTCTGTGTTTCCCTATTACAAACAACGGGGCAACGAATATCAGTGCACTTTTGTAGAGTGTGCCATTGGGCCTGGGGAAGATGCTAAGGGGTGCTCTTGCTGGGTTGGGGGGTACGTGGATTTTGTGACTGTCAACTCACATTACCACATCAGCACACGGAGGCACAAACCTGGAGGTTTTTTTCCACTGTTATGAATATTTGGCAAAAATCAATCTTTTGAATTATCAAACAGAAGACCAGAAATGACATCTCTTTGTTACTTTGATTTGCATTTCCCTGATTGCTGAAGGGAATGGGCTCTCATTTGTTCATTGGATATTCACATTTTTCTCCTCTGTCAGTTGCCTGCTTCTGTTTCTCACCTATTTTTCTATTGAGTTGGCCTTATTAATTTATGGAAACGTGCATGTGCATGTGTGTAAATATATATTTAATGTATTTTCTCCAAGTCTATTTCTTGGAGTCAGGCTTAAAGATTTAGACCCTGACTTCACCAATTTAGCCATATAAGCCCTAAATTATTTAACCTCTCTAAATCATAACTTCCTCACTTGTAAAAAAGATAGTAATCTTACCTATTTTATAGAGTTTTACGTGAGAGTGTGTAGGATACAGTAATCATTATTATTACTAAAGAAGTTTTAAATTTTTATGTGATAAAATGAATCACTCTTTTCCTTTATGGCTTTTGCATTTTGTGTATTAAGCAGACCTTCTCTACATGAGAGTAATAAATGTATTCTTTCTTTCTAAAAAAGAAGTACTATTATGCTGATATAGTCCTATACATACAATGATATCATTATACATAGATTATTTTTAAGAATTAAAAAATATCTATTGAAATCATATCAATTACATCAGAGTTATAGAATGGATAAAGATTGTCCACTTAGGCTGTTATAACAATATGATGGAATGGGTGGCTTATTAACAACAGAAACTTATTTCTCACTGTTACAGAGACTAGGAAGTCTAAGATACAAGGCTCTGGTAGATTCAACGTCTGCTGAGGGCCCACTTCCTGGTTCCTAGACGGCCATCTTCTTTCTGTGCCCTCACATGCTCAGAAGGCCCCAAGAGAGCTTCTGGGGCATCTTTTTTTTTTTCTTTTAATTATTTTTTATTATGAAATACACATTTTTTAGAATTAGTTTCAGCTGTACAACACAGTGCAATAGTTACACTTTTTACCCCTCGAAGTGACAACCCCCCTCCCCCAATCAGCCGCCCCAGGGGCATCTTTTTTAAGGACACTAATCACCTCCCAAAGTCTCCTCCTCCAAATACAACCCCATTGGGGGGAATAGATTTCAACATATGAATTTTGGGAGAGACACACATATTCAGTCTGTAGCAAAGATGTTACATAGTAATAGCTAAATGGGACCCTATTATGATGCTTGTACCAGGAAATAATGATTCTATACTCTGCCTATGAATTTCCCATGATACCATGAGTCATTAGGTATGTGGGCATTAGGATTGATTAGAAATAAGACCAAATTCCCCAAACAGTGTCATTACTAGGTCAACTACACTACTCACTACTACCAAGATTGGCCTCACTGATTAAGATAAAAATCAAATGTTCTATAGGCCAAAGGTGATTTGTACCCAGGAGGACCTAGGTTTGAGCATTAGCAAAGTAACCTTGAACCTATGAATCCTGTAAGATGAAGATAAGTCATGTAGATCCTGATTAACTTACAGTCATATTGTGAAGATTAAATAAGATCTCATATGGAAGTTTTTTGTAGATTGTTGTTAAGTTGGGAAGTTCACATAACAGAACTGGTCCCTGTCCTGACCACAGTATTGGAAGATATGGTCCATGTTAAGGAATGGGACACAGGATAGTGAAATTACCAAAGCAAAGGCTTTTTGAGGTCAAAGCTAGGTTGGAATTTTTACGTTAACACCTATTATATTATTGTGGCCCTTTATCTTAAGCTCACTTTACCCATTCATAAAAATGCAGTTTCATACCTACGTAAGAGGGATGTTATGAGAATTAGTGGAGATATTTTTTAAAAGCATTAGCACTGTGCCTAACAGAGTAGGTGATCAACAAATAAGTTCTTTCCCCTTAACTCTGCATTACAATTGACAACTGTTTTCAGTTCACACTTCTGCCCAGTTCACACAGTCAACACTGCTGCCTAGAAACTATATACTAAGACTTTGGATCAATCCATTTTTAAAGATCCAAGAACATACCATAAAGAAGACAAAAAAGGTTTCTAATTGTCTACCTCAGAATTCAAAGAATGACATTAAGGGTGGATACCTGGCTTGGCTTCTAAAAAGTTTGCTACTCTTGAGAAAGAGATGGTAGAAAAGGGGAAGTGGGGAGTTTGGTGGTATTAGAAGGCCTGATAGGACAATCTCCTTTAGATTCATCCCCTTCCCTTCATTCAACAAAGTTAATGGGGGAGGAAGAAATGAATGAGTTTTAATGAGGAATTGGGAAAAAGAGGAGAGGGATAATTTTTATGTTTTTTTCAAAAATGATGTCTCATGGATTTCTATAGAATAACAGGGAAGCAGCCATCTGTGCTGTACTGATATTTGCTCCTATCTGATCTTTACCTCAGGATGACAAAGCTCATGAACCGGCTTTTAAGAACCGTTTCCATGCTGGAGTACTTCCTTAACCGGAGTTGGGAATGGAGCACGTACAATACAGAAATGCTGATGTCCGAGCTGAGTCCTGAGGACCAGAGAGTAAGTACAGCACTGACTTCACCAATGGAAAACTCTTACTCATTTGAAATTTAGAATTATTTGCCCTGGAAAGCTGATGAATAAAGTTTTAGTTATATACACAGAATTTTTTTCACTAAGAAAATCAGTTAAAGCTATCAACACAGTTGCAGGAAACAAGTTTAATGTAGGAAAGAGGTCTAGTTCTTGGGCTTCAGTTAGATCCTCGCTGCGATTCTGCAGTCACATTTCATACCCTTCCATAGCGGTTATCTTTTCAACAACCCCCCGCCCCATACTTCTATCTTTTCCCTAACTGCCACAGCATATGACTTTGATGAAAAATAATAACTTGATTGTTCGTAAACTCTCTCAACCACTGTTATTGTCAAATCAAAATTGTTTAGCGTCTCTAAAACTATAATTTCTTCCTTATCTTTTTAAGCTAACCCTTTTTCTTATTTAATCTATCCCATCTAAGACTTCCCTCCATCAGTATTGCCCTCTCCCCGGCATTGTCAGTCTTTTTCCCTGTAGTGATTTCCTTGAACAATTCAGACTTTTATTCCTCAAGACGGGCCTTTAATTGTTTAGCCTCAGTGCCATTCATTTCTTTACATTAGCTTCTTGGCAGCCGCAAACAATAAGCCCTGAAATTTTTACATATTCTGAAATGCACAAGTATAGAAATCTTTTGTACTTTGTACATGCTCCTAGCTTTTTTTTTCTCCTCAGAGTCATGAGTTCCCTGAACATATCATTAGTTTTCAATTAAACTTGAAAGTTTTCACTCTCTTGATTGACATTTTTCCACTAAAAATGTTTTTTAAAACATTTCTTGATTTAACTTCTACTTGACAGCATGTAGAAAAAATCAAGTCATACTGAGAAGTAAATGTTAGATGGCTAGTTAAGGATTTTACTCCTACCTACTAGCCTCATAGAGCATGATTCAAACAGGACTCCTAGAATTACTTTATGTCAGGGAACCTAAGGGTTACTTGCAAAGTTAAACACCATAAATATTATATTAATAAATCAAATTAGACTTAGATAGTAACTAAAATCATCATTGAGTACCTCTAACATTGACATGAATAGAGCTATTTTCAGAAATGTTTACATATCATTATAGATAAAATTCTTCTAAAGACGCATTTAAAATGCATGGATGATACTCAAACCAGGTATTAAAAGAACTGAAGCTATTGTACATTATTTTTAAAAGCTTCAAATTTTATGTAGGCTTATTTTTTCTCTATGAAGTTTACCCATCTAAATAATTTAAAAGGTAATAAGCTTAGAGTTTGCCTTTTGACATTTTACTATTTTTACCTAAAATAACTTAAAATTTCATGAAAAAAAGAAAAAAGAATCAAGTCTGCAGTTGATTTATCCATATGCAAGGGTAATAGTCCCGAATACTTGGATTTAATTGCCAAACCCTGGTGGGGCTCAGACTCCAGTTTGATTTGCCGTATAGAATCAGGCTTCTAAACTAGGGCTTTATTGAAATCTAACTTAGAAATGTGAAATAGTGTAAAAGTAAAAGCCTCTGTTTATATAGATGAATAAATAATATTTATTGATAGTGTGGAAAACAAACACATCCAAATAAAGGGATAGAGAATTACTTTTGGAAAGCAATTCATTTGACAAGTCTATGAAGCTCTCTGTAACTTGTTAATATCTCATCTGCTCTCTGTTAATACTCAAAATTATCTCAAAGATTTGAGCTATATTACAATAAATACATAGAAGAAACAAAATGGAAATAAAACATCACACCAGGGAATATATGAATTAAAATATGAAGTCAGGGATAAGAATGATATAATAGAATGTCCATATATAATCTACAAGATCCTGCTAAGTCACTGCAGTTCGACAGGGAATTTGTTCTTGAGCTTTTTGGTGGCAAAGTGAAAAGGAAAATATAGTTTCATGGGTTCTTTGTCCTAGAGGAGAAATTATACTAGTGTTCCAGGAGAAATAAAGCTTTCATTACCACTTAACTCTAAAAAAATGTGACATAATGGATAGTATCTCTAAAGCAAATACAAAACATAAATTACTACATATGTTAAGCTATTCCTCAAGGCTTTGCTCCCCCAAATTTACCTTAATCTGCATAACAAAGTGGTGATATTGTAAAAAAGGATGGTAGGCAAAGGGGACAATACCAAAATTTAAGAGGAATGGAAAGGAAAAGACACACAATTTGTTTTGGTCCCTAATATATTATTCCATCACTTTAAAAAATAATTAATCCATATTTATGGGCCGGCCGAGTGGTGTGTTGGTTAAGAGTTGGCTTGGGATGCCAGCTCTGAGCAGCAGGGCCCCAGTTTGATCCCACATGAGGGCCAGTGA